AAAGAGCTAATTGAGCCTCCCTGCACTGACTCATGGTGTTCAAACAGGAAGGAACAGCCCTTCACAGCCATAGGGAGCTTGTAGGACTCACTGCTACGAAATTCAGTGCAAATAACATTTCTTTCATAGCATGTATTTATAATGATATTTTGAGGTTAAAGTTACCTTTTAGTATGTTCTGGAATAAACACTGCTGTGAAGAAAATGCTCTTCAAGTATGGTACATCTGAGAAAAAATAAATTTCTTGATTAGGATACTAGTTTTGAACTCCAGAGGTCTACCTAATCCCCAGCTCTGCTAGGGGGCTGCTGTATAACGTGCAGGATTTCTGACAGCATTGAGTTCTGAGACTGCTTAATGTGACACTTGCTTTACTTCAGATGTTCTGACCATTAATAAGTCACAGGTCAAAGTAATATACTGGATGTTTCGGTTTTATCCCAGCTTGTTACTCATAATTTTTATAGCCCTTCACTAGCAGAGGCTTCTCCCTAAATGCTTTTTCTTTTCAAAGCACTGAGGAAGTGCTTATGACAGTATTTCCAAATTTACAGACCTTGAGAACAAGACAGATTAGTGGGTCTCAAATCTTTTCTGATACCATTGGCAGTTTTAAGAAAGCTGACCTAATTATTTTTTTTATTGTTCCAAGACACTGAGGAGGCATCCATAACTCAGAAGGTTCCAGACTAATCTGCATTTTGCAAAACAAGAGGCGGAGATGTTTTTAGGTAGCAACAATAGAGTTTACAGATGTCCATGTAGTGAAAGATGGAGCTGAGATTTGCATCTCCAGTGACAGCAGAAACCCAAGGTTAACTACAGAAACATGTTTGCTAATTTTTCAAAGGTATAAATATACAGATAGATCTTTTGGTAGACAAATAGATTCCTGGACCGCAATGTTCTCTGCTTTACAACTGATAAGACTATTTTGTTTTTCCAGTTCCATTTCTGTACTGTGAGGGTGGCAAAACATTGGAATGAGCTTCCTGGAGAAGTGGCTGAAGTCCTATACCTTCCAGTTCAAGAGTCATTTAGATAATGCACTTTAAGTCTTGGTTAGCTTTGAAGAGATCAGGCAATTGGACTTGATTTTTGAAGGTCCCTTCCAGCAAAACTGTTCTATCTTCTTTTTTGAAACCCCCCTGTCCTCTTTATCTCCCACCTTTGTCTGTCTTGGAAGATGTTGTGATCTATTGGTTGTTTGCTTTTGCTTGTTTATCTGTTTGTTACTGTAATTTGAAAAACCTTCCCTTTTTGTGCTTTAGGCTTCTGATGTACTCTTGTAGAAGCATCAAAAGTACCTATGTCTCATCAGTTGCAGCTGAAGCTCTCATCACCTTCTTCATCACATTGCTGGATTGTCCTTAAAGGCAGTGGTGTCATCTGTACCAATTTGACTTTCGCACTGTGTGCACATGTGTAATAGAAAATATCTTAGACCTGAAGGGTGAATCGTGTACATAATGATCCTGTGGAGAAATTAATCCTAAAGAGTTCTGTTCAGTGTGCCGTTTCTCTTAAGAACATTTATAGGACATGGAGGCTCCATGTACTGGAAAAAGTTGTAGGATGTATGTGAGGTGATGTGGAATACTACCATATAAGTATGAGTGTTGCTATGGAAAAATGGATTAATTCATATGGTGAAAAGAAAACACATCTGCCTGGGAAATTTGCCATAGGGCAGGGGAAAAAAAAAGAAGAAAAAAATAGAGTTTAACTAAAACACGATCCAGGAGGATCCAAACAGGAGGGCTGTTTAAGCCAATTTCAGATGCTTTGGCTGCTTTCACTCCCAATATTCGCCAGCCCTGTCACATTGCTATTTGAAATATTTTCAAGATGGCAGCTTGTTCAACTGAGTTGTGGAATGCAGCCAGCAGACCTAGGCCAAGGAGAAAGGGCAGCACCCTAAGAAGTCAGAGAATAGAGGTTGGAGATGGAACCCAGCCTGGATGCAAGTAGAATGCTGGTGTGGGACACATCTGTGCCCAACATGAGATGAATTTCGTCTCTCCCAAATTACAGGCTCTTGTAACATTTGCCAGAGCAGTCTGACACACTTAAATGTACTGTAGTGTTGCACAATATTGAATGGAGAGTGACTCTCAGTGTTTTCCATTGCTTTTTCACCTGGTTGTATGTGCTAAAAACAAATAGATCAGGCACCAAGAAGACATTTTATTGATCAAATCCTTCGTAGGCGTGACTTAAACTGTGCACTGAAGGTCAAAACACTCAGGTCACAGAGGGAAGTTCTTTTGTTCAGTGTTTGCCATTGAAAACTTCCTCTCACTCCTCCACCAGGCATATTCAAAGGCTACTGTTGTTCGTAGGAAGCCTATTTATAAAGAGTTCCTAGAGTGGCACCAGTGACTTGAGTTGTCTTGGGAGATATCAAAAATACATGAGGATTCCTGAGGTGGGGGAGGAAGTTAATGTGCTTGCTCTGACACATAAACATTTGCACTACTTAAATCTTTCATCTCTTGTCTTGCGGCGTTCGAAGATCATAGCATACCATCTGGAAGGATGATGGCATGCCTGTATGCAGCATACTGCCGTGTGTCGGGGGACTGGCAATAAAAAAAATCTTTGCCTCTTCTTGAAAGTTCAGAAAGAGGTAAAAAAACGATAAAGGTTTTTGTCAAGAGAGTGAGCAGGATCTTCCTTGACAAATGCCCGATGAATTTTGTTTCCATCTTTACAGCATTATATTTATCGTTGTTGGCCACATCCTGTTTCTGTCTCAGGCAGGTACAGTAAAAGCTAAGAGCTACCTTTGAAGATGTAAGAATTTCACAGGTACATATGCTTCAAAATTGAATTTGAAGAGATCTGGAAATGAAGGTAGCAACTATTAATCCTTGTTTCTTCTTTGCTGGAGTTTTGTTTGAGATGTTTGCTAAACTTCCCAGCCAGCTGTTGGAAGACTAGGTCATACCATCAGAAGGGCTTGACCTTTACAGCTGAGCCTTTATCAGGGCACTTTTTATTTTTAACTTATTGTTCCTTCATCAAAGTAATATAATTTATGAAGCATAGGTGATTTTTTTTCATTTAAATGGCTACTTAGTAGAACTTTATCCGAATTGATCTATTTTAGCTGTAATTATATAATATGACATAAAAATTAATGTTGAGAAAACCATCACATGCTCAACTGTAAGAAGTAGGAAATTACTCCTTTTTGGAGCTGGAAGATTCATCTTCATTGATTCTCTGTCCCTTGATATCCTTATCTGTAAACCTTATTTTGGAGGATCTTTTGAGATACCTAGGGATACCAACGAAGGAAGGTCTACATTTGTTGGAAGTTCACTTCCCAGAAAGAGAATGGTATATGAAAAAGATGGCTAGTTTAGAGAAACTTATAGCTCAGCTACAACAGGCTGCAAACAGTAGTGGCTCAGCAGATGATGGAGGCTTAAACTCTGTAGCTGAAGCCTTCAAGGTATATAGGTGTTGCAGGAAAAGCAGGAGTTGCCAAGCTGGGAAATGTATCAGCAGTGTCCTCAGTATCTGTGCTACTAGAGGAGTAGTTAAATAAAAGTTGCAGAGCATGGAAAGAAGCAGAGCATGCCCATGATGTGGAGAGCTGAGAACTGTGCTAAGGGAGTTTGACCTGAGTGTATTTTCCTTCTTTCTATCAAGATAATTTGAGGAGGTTCCCATCTACAGCAAACTGAAAAATTGATACTGATAGAATCTTGTACAGATCCCACATCTGTTTTGCATCGAGCTACCTCTAGAACATCGATTAAGGGCAGCTACCCAAAGCAGCTGTCCCCACACCTATTGGTCAGAGAAGCCAAGTTACTTGCTTCTCTGCTACTTGCTTCTTCTTGCAGTATTTACTACTGCAAATGACACTGTGGTTCACTTTTTCAAATACATTGTCCTTGTGGTTTAACCTGACAGGTGACTGAGCATCACACAGCAGTTTGCTCCCTTCACCCTCTTCCCAGTGAGGTGGGGGAGAGAATTGGAAAAAATAAAATAAATAGAACTTGTGGGTTGAGATAAAACTATTTACTATGATAGATAAAAGGATAATAGTTAGGACTATGTGTATGTATATATATACGTGTGTGTGTGTGAATGTATATAACAGGTATATAACAAATGATGCACAGTTGCTCACCACCCCATGACTGATGCCCAGCTACCCCCCCCCCCCCCAAGCAGCAGAAGAGAGTGAGATGAACTCCCATGCCCTTCAAAACTCCTCCCATGTGATATTATATGGTATGGAAAATTCCTTTGGCCAGTTTAAGTCAGCTGTCCTAATTCTGTTCCCTTCCAGGTACTTGGACCATTCTCTATCAATGGTCTGGACTTTGTACAACACTGCTTAGCAGCAACTATAACTACCGATGTGTTAACATTGTTTTTCTACCAGAACCAAAACATAGCATCATACCAGACACTGAACAAATCTGTCCCAAGTGAAACTAAGGCAATAGTAATGAGCAAAAAGCAATGCACTCTTTCAGCCTTCCTTAGAAATGTCAGTGAGTCAGTTACCCAAGGACTTACATGTTGATTTAATTTTGATTAATTAATTTACATTCATTTAGACTACTATGATCTTTGAGTGCTTGGTGAATTCTTAGTTGTTCCTCCTTTGTGTTTAGACTGATCTCTTCAGTGCAGGGACAATTTCTTGCTGTGTATGATATGCAGAAGTCCTATATGCAGACCTCAGAAACTTCAGAGTACTATTGGAATTCAGCATTACATGGAAATAAAAAAACAAAACATTTTAAAATACTAGTAAAGGAGTATACAGGAAAGAGTGATTTCTAGTCTTAGGAGTTTTGTCTGTGTGAATATATAGATTTTCTTCACTACAAACTTAGCTTGGCCCTTTGCTAATTATCAGTGCTGGAGAAGGGAATTCACTCGTATTACTGCTTGCTTACTGGTATCCTGAACATAAAATGCAGAGTCACAGTCTGGGTTTGTTTTCTTTTTTTCTTTGTCCTGACAGAAAGATTTCGGGATTTACTGCTTCTACAGTCAAATCAAGATGCAGAGATTCTGCCCATCTTTCAGCAGAGGCGCTATCCCAAGTAAGTAACACTGTCTTGTCAGAGTTATAATCCTTACCTCTTTGCAGCTGAGGAGGCAAAGCATTCATAGCACTTTTGGTGCAAAGTGCTAAGGCAGAGCTGTGCTAAGGCAGAGCCACACTTGCACTGAGATTTTCAGTCTTTCAGCAGTGTCAGGAAGAAGCAGACATTCTCTGCAAGCATGCCTAGCTGTCAGGGGGAGGTGGTGGCAGAGTGCAGACATTAAGCTGCCTGGATCAGTCTGGTGTAGCTTTGTTTCACTTGGCACTGCGTGCTGACATAGGCAGATGTTTTGTCAGGCTAATCCCCACTCTTCTCATCTGGGATTCCATCGTTTGCAATGACAGATTCCCTTGGATTTTAACAGGCCCCCTCAAGAAGACTACGAGCTCTAGAAAATATTTTTTGCTGCCATTTTTTATAGATATACATGCAGGCAAAACAAAAAAAAATGTGTGTTTTTTCATTGTGTAATTGTATTGATTCAGTCTCTTTCTCTTAAATGACATACTTGAATGAAACAATAAGCACTGCTTGCTATATTATTTTTAAAAAATTGTGAATTTCAATAAAGTTTTGGAAAAAAGCAATGACGGGGAAGGAAGAAGAAATAGTCCTCACATTAATTGTGGCCACAGTGACCCATGGAGGGAAGATTGTGTGGGATGAACAGAAGGAGGAAAAGGAAATATAAATATCTGGAGACAAGCCAGCAACAATGATGGCAATCAGCAAAATTATTCATTTCAATCATCATTATTTTAATCATTAACTGGTTCCTGTAATACGTAAGAAGCCAGTGGAGCTACTTGCTAAATACAGCTCTGAAAATCTTATAACTTTTTTTAAAGCATACAGCAGATAGAGGAGCTGAGTGCTGTGAACTAGTCACCTCTTCACTGTAAATACTGGAAAATAAAAGCACTCAGGTGAATCCTTATTCCCAAAACAGTGAAACTTTTGCATTGACTTCAAGGGTGAAAGGATTCTATCCCCAGTTCTATTTTTTGCATCACCTATTGTTATTGTTTTACTGGACTATCATGGAGGTACAATATATGAGACTCTGGGAGATACCTTAAGTTGTCTGCTCTGCTTGTTTCATTAGGACTTCCATGTATTATTACCTTGGTCTTTCACCTGTAGGAGCACTAGAATAGTAATTTTTCCATAGTAGTAAAAAGCTTTGTTTAGCTTAAATGTTTTCTCTCATGGTGTGGACGCTGTCAGACTGGCCAGAGAAGGAAGCTTATCCTCCTTACCTCTGTACAAATCATTCACAAGCTACCTGACTTTCCATGTTCGTACGCAATTTATTGCTAATATTGTTGTCAAGTGTAGCAGACTAGCATTATCAAATCTGTGGGGGAATGAGTATCTGTTCTTCTCTGCTCAGTCCATGTTACAGCTCTTTCAAGATCATACATGGAACTATTTGAACTTAAGTGGACCTGTATATGAAATGATAAATGTTTTCAGCCATATTACTTGGGAAGATTGAGTGATTCCCATAATGCAAAAAATGAGTCACACTTTGGCGCTTGATTGATAGAAAATTTTGCATATGTTGTTACAAACAATAGATTTCTGCTTATAGCATCATTAATCCATGCATATTTGCTTGCTTGCTTACAGAAATTTATCGTGTATTTACAAGCTAGTTGAATACTGTTGACATGTCCTAATTTCCCTGGGGGTTCTTTTTCAAGTGAAATCCTTGTGTTCGGCAAGGTAGAAAACATGTTCATCTTCATGATATATTCTGTCTTATTCCCATTTCAGTGTGCTCATTTTTATTAAAAGATCAGTCAACAGAAATCAAGATAATTAACAGACACATCTCATAAATGAGTGTTCCTTGACTTCAGCTAAGCAGTCATCATTTGTACTATGTAAGGATCTGAGCAGTAAGGTCATTTTAATGTGACCTTATTGTGGAACACAGGGTGAAACCTCAAACACTTATGAATAACCTAAAGATATGGAAGGTTAAAAATAGAAGAGCAATTACAATAATGTTTTAGATGAATAGCCTGAGTGAGCAAGGTTTAGGAGGTAGAATGAGCAAAAGTTTGCACGTATTTGAGAGACATATACCAAAAGAAGGAGGTGGGAAAGGAAGGTGACCAGTATCATCCAGGATATTCAGAGTTACAGTAGAAATATTAAAGGCAAAATGAGCCAAGTATAATCCATCAGTTTCGAAAGAGGTAGAAGCTTTGTCTTCTGGGCTGACTTATGTTCTTGTTATATTAAGATCATGACCATCTCATGAAACAGCATGTTCATTATGAGTATGTGTTTGTTCTCCTAGATGTCTGTGCACTGGAATATTTGGAAGTACTTTTCTAGCATATACAAACACATTCTTCTGAATTTTTTAGGTAAATATGTCAGTTGTACTTTGCAGTCTTGGTTGATGCAGGAAGAAATGTTAGATCTTTTGATGACCCTTATGTTTGTCTGAATTTATTCTGCTGTGGATGACTAAATTGAACACCTGCTCTGACACATGAGGCAGGTTATAGAGGACCCAGAGCTTACAAAGATTCAAGCTTGAAAAAGCCACTTTGCACATCTCAGTGCTTCCTTGGCTTAGCTGTGTATGTCCACAACTAGCATGGCAACTTGAGCACTTGTTATCAGTGCAGCCCATGGGCTTAGATGGAGCACTACACCAGCACTTGCTTTTCATATTGAGCTTGCAGAGTGGGAGTTCAGCATCATCATGTGCTTCTTTCACATGACAGTGCAACTGTGTCTTGGGAAAACTGCAGTTATTAGGGAAGAGTTATGGGAGTATGTTCTCCCATAAATGCCTGCAGAGGAGTTTCACAATGAAACATACTGTACTACATAGGTTACTGAACTTGGAGGAGAAGTCCAGTCCAGGCAAGTCTTATCCATATCTCAAGTGAGCTTCAGAAGATGAAACTGGACATTACTGGACCCCTTGTTCACCTCTTCAGGAAACTCTCCATCCACATTAAAATGTTTGGTGCAGAAAATCTGTTTCCTAGCTGACATGAAACCATACCTGTCTGTGGGAAGTGACATTCTGAACACTGAAGAATAAACCTGCAACTGTGGGCAGCCAGGCAGGCAGGGTCTCATGTCACCTCCAAATGGTACCACCTGGGAAGATCCTCAGCCCTCAAACCAAATTGCAGATGTGCTTGCAGCTTTCTCCTTCATTCCCTCACCTCCACGAGCCTGCAGTGGACCCTGAGGTGGGCCACACAAACACAAACACAGTCAGGTGTATCAACAAGTTGAACTTGTTGCAGTGAGTCTTATCCTGACCAGTCACTTTGACAGCGAGCACTAAGACTCGTAAATTTCTTAAAGGACCTTTTAAAAATATCACTCTTCAGGTATTTCCACAGGAGTTTTCTTGAAGTTGAAATCAAGTTTGTACATTGCCTGTTTGCCTGCATAGCCCAGGAGTTTCATACTGTTTATCACATTAAATTACTCATAAAATGCAAAAAATGCTGCAGTACTAACACAGGCTGCAGAAGGTTGGGCTTGAAAATGTTGTAATGCCCATTAATCAGATCCAGCATGCGGCATTGAGCTTAGCCAGCAGTGTGTTTCTAAGTTACTGACTGGCACCATGCTGATTTCCACTGTCAGATTGTGTTTGACCTTGACGTTAGCTGGTCTGTCAGAAGGGAAGAACAAAACACGTGGAGAAATGTTATAAGTCTGAGAGTTAGGAGTTAAGTTGGTAGGTTACAAGGGCAGGAGTGAGGCCAGCGCTGCACAAAACTCCCAGTAATCTCCCAGTATTTGAAAGAAGATTATAAAACAGGAAGAAATCCAACTTTTTACATGTTAGATAGTGACAGGACAAGTGAGAATGTCTTTAAACAAAAGGAGGGAGATTTAGATTAGATGTCGGGAAAGTTTTCCACTGAGAGGGCGATGAGGTGCTGCCCAGAGCTGTGGGTGCCCCATCCTTGGAGGTTCTCAATGCCAGGCTGGATGGGGCCCTGGGCAGTCTGATGTCTTGCTCTGGTGGTCCACATCCCAGCCCAGCCTGCAGCACGGAGGTTGGAATTTGATGATCTTTGAGGTCCCTTCCCAACCCAAGCCATTCTGTTATTCTGTGAAAACTCTGCTTGTGAGGAATGGGTCACAAGTGCTGTTGGCGTTAAAACTTTTTAGCAAATTTCTCTTTTTTCTCAAAAGTGACTTTTGAGATTGCAGATGCATTTTTTTTATTTTCAAGATACTACCAAGGTCCTCAAATATGTGTGTGATTTTTTAGAGGAATTATTTGCTTTTTTTTTTTTCCCCCTTGGAAATATTCATTCATATCTTCTGTGGGTTTGGTGGAAAAGTGATTCACCACTGTAAGATTTTAAGAACAGAAGGAGCTGTTATGTTCTACCTAATTTGAGTCCCTTCTTAACGTGAGCAATAGAGCATTGCCTGATAGTCCCTGCAGCAAGGTTCGATCAGATCATAAATTTAGAAAGACATCTAATCTTCAAATTGAGACATTAAAACAGGAAAAATCGTAAACCTTTAGATCCACTTGCTTCAGTTGCTTCATGTATGTATAGCATGAATTTCTTTAGCATCAGTTTCCAATCTGCCATTTCATTGTACCACTGTCTGCCAAACAAGGAAGCTCTACAGAAAGTGATACCTCCGTATGAGTGGATAGAGGTCATTTAACAACACAACCTGCTGTTGAATAGGCAAAACTTTGTTGCAGGGCGAAGTTCTATAACAGCTTATGCTCTCTTTTTAAAACTGTGCCATTCTTTTTGTTTGTTGTTTGTTTGTTTGTTTTTTTAATTAAGAAACATGGAGAGGAATTTCTTGTATGCTCATATACAGAAATAGCAGTACTTCTTCATGGATAATTGAAAAATGACTGAAGCTGAACACTGTATTAGTATTTAACTGAAATGACAAGATGCTGAACTTCGGAGGAAAAAAAAGAACTTAGAACCTACAAGGTATAACAATATAAAAGAGTATTCCAA